TGCCAAAGCCCTAATCAGTGTAGGTAATTTTTTGGTCTCTAAAGAGGGAGTGTGTGCCAAGGCAAAAGTAAATTTTCAGCCAGTTAATTGGTGTCCAGTAAAGCAACAGTCATTTATGATTGTCTCGGAGGATACGCTTTATATTTCATTTTCCTAGCCAGATGGTACACGCTACAGCAGTACCAGTGAGGGCATGGTTAATTGGAAAATTGGCATGCTTTAGGGTGATTAGCTCATTTGTATCAAAGATCTCGGCCATCAACCATCTCCATGCATCTCCTCTGCCTTGATATACAAGTGTTTCCATACAGTATCTCATCCTTTGCCTTCTAGGATAGTACTGGAAAACATAACGTAAGACAAGCTTGCTGGAACAGGTCAAGAGCCCATCTAGTCCAGCATCCTACTCTCACCGTGGCTGACCAGATGCTCATGGGAACTCCTGAGTGCAACAGTACTCTGCCTACTAGGTCTGGGAGAGGTCAGCTTTTCAACATTGCGGTGTATCGCCAGCCAAACATTGTCATATGGCGATATATTGCAATGTTGAAAAGCAGAGGAACAAGCTGCATTGGTCCGGAGGTGCTAGGGTGAAGCCGCCCCAGTTCCCTTGGTGGGAGTGGCAGCAGTTTCACCCTGGCGCCTGATGCAGCCTGTTCCTCCCACTGGGCACTGGCAGTGCAAGGAGTCCCCCTCCACTGCCAGCACCTGGAGCACAGAGGGAACAATGAGCCACATCAGCCATTCTTCCTGCTGGATGCTGGCAGGGGAGGGAGTCCCTCTGCTGCCAGCACCCAGCATGCGGAAGGAGACAGGTGAAGGAGCCATCATACTCTGGCTCCCAAACTGGTCCTGGGCGATGTATATTGCCCAGACTTAATGCCCACCTGCAGCTCCCAGCAACTAGCACCCAGTGGTATAATATCTCACCCAGAGAAACTTCCATAACCATTTAGTACTCCATCTGTTAACCGTTCTCTGATAGCTTAGATGAAGATGTAAAGATCCAAGATCTTAATTGAAAATAATATTTTGATAGGTAAAAGCATGCAATGATGAAGCCCAAAATTACAATTTACTATGTGTATGGCTCACACAATTATTTTGCTGATCCTTAGATTAGTTAGAATGAAACAGTGAGAATTTTAAAAATAAAAAAATGGCAGAGCAGAATCAGCAGTGGGGGAAGGCCCTGTTGCGTTTCTCTTGAACCAGGCACTGTCAAGAGACATGGGAGGAGTAAAGTGAGCTTTAGACCATAGTGATATACCCCTTATAATCCACACACACACTTACAGAGCCATGAGGAGCACAGGAAGCTTGTAAGATATGGAACTGGGCAACCACACTTCTTTTGTTTCACATTTTTTCCCCTAAACGTTTCTTGCTTTTTATTGTTCTTCTGTGCATTACTGTGCTGGAGTTCCTTAATGAGATGTAATATTCAGCTTGAATTTATGTTCCACTCCATTAACTCTTTCCTCCCCCTGCTTGAATTTTGTCTGTACTAATCAAGATTTTTTGTGAAAGCTTGTTCAGCAATTCTTCGATAAATGTGCCCTCCTTACAGGCTAATAGAGGTTAAAACACTGTAGCAGAGAGAAAACGATATCTTGCAGAAGGTTGTTTATGTTATACGGCATTTATTGGACCATTAACACTTTGATCTGCTTTCTGCTGTATCAAACCTGCACAATTTGTGACCCGTGAAGCCATATGCCACCTGCCAGCTATGTGTGGCCACCCAGGAGAAGCTCTATAAACTTCCAGGTTCTGCTGCTTACCTAGCACATAGACAGATTCATGGGGGATAATGCTGTCAATGATTACTGCTAGCTACAATGGCTATGCTCTACTTCTGCTGTCAAATGTGGTATGCCTTTAAATAACAGATACTCAGAATCACAGGTGGAGAGGATGCTGTGGTACTCAGGTTCTGTTTCAGGGCTTTCCATGGGCATCTGCTTGGCCTCTGAGAACAGGTGGGTTGAGAACTGGACTAGGTGGGCTTCTGGCTTGATCTAGCAGGCTCTTGCTATGTTCTTAGAAAACAAAGAGTTCAGCCCAGCACCTGGCAGGTAACAGTACATGACTGTGTAGTAGTAGTACATGACTACTACTAGCCGCATTTGGCTTGGCAGTAGGGATGGAGGAGAAATTCGTTTCCATATGCATTTAAGGCCAAATCTATCAGTTTTGCATTTTCTGAAGCAATATGCAAGCAAAAACACTGCTGTCCTTCAAAATTCACACTTATCTGAATTTTGCAGTGTAGGTTCACCAGCCAACCAGTGTTTATAAAAATACACAAGTTAGGGGAAACTGTGCAGGAAATGAAGAAATAATGGCGAAAATAACATGCACAGATGCATTGCTTTCAAAAATGTGTACATCTGTCAAATCTGCATGTTAAAATGTTTTCATTAGGAGGTATTTGCACTAAAATTCTGAAGGATTTTCATGAGAATTTTGTTTCAAGTCACAAATTGCTGCAAAATGTGGAGGATGAATTTAAGATTGGGGGGGATTGAGAAACTGAGAGAACTGAAATTGACAGATCTCTCCATCCCTAGCAGTATTGCTGGTCTGCAGCTGCTTGGTTAATGTTTCCAGTTTCCACCTTGCTGTTCTTTTATTTGCATCCATGCATGGATCCTCATCAAAGTTGAATTAAAGCAGCAGCAGCAGTAAAGAAGTCTGGATTTCTGTTTTCCTTCCAGCAACCATGATATGGTGTGTGTTTTTGGTTGGTTGGTGGAAATGGCATTATATCACTTTCATAATTCTAACGTACATGATGTCTGGTGATGATGTCTGAAAGGAAGCAACTTCTTGCAGCTACAGGACAAACAATATTAGTACCCTCAGTAACAGTCAAGGGTTTGGTTTTTGTGTGGTTTTTTAGATACAGTGGTACCCTGCAAGACGAACGCCTCGCAAGACGGAAAACCCGCTAGACGAAAGGGTTTTCCGTTTTGGAGGTGCTTCGCAAAACGAATTTCCCTATGGGCTTCCTTCGCAAGACGAAAGCGCAGCGCGTCTTCCCCACTGTCCTCGGACCTCCTCCGAAGGCTGGCGGCGGGGCGGAGAGACCTCCTCCCGCCGCCAGCCTTCGTTTCTCCGCTATCCCGGACGGCTTTAGAAGGCAGGTGGGGGGGGCAAAAACTTTCGCCCCCCGCCGGCCTTCAGAAGAGGTCCAGGACCTCTTCTGAAGGCCGGCGGGGGGCAAAAGTCTTTGCTCCCCCCTGCCTGCCTTCCCGGGGGCTTTTAAATCGCCCCGGACAGCGGAGAAGTCCTCCGCTGTCCGGGGGTTTTTTAAAATGCTGGCTGTCGGCAGCGGAGGCTTCGCTGCCGCCTGCCAGCATTTTAAGATCGCCCCGGACAGCGGAGAAGTCCTCCGCTGTCCGGGGTTTTTTTAAAATGCTGGCAGGCGGCAGCGGAGGCTTCGCTGCCGCCCGCCAGCATTTTAAGATCGCCCCGGACAGCGGAGAAGTCCTCCACTGTCCGGGGTTTTTTTTAAATGCTGGGGGTGGGAAGAAAAGCCCTTGTCCCCCGCCCCAGCCTTCAGAAGAGGTCGGGGGACAGACTGTCCCCGGACCTGGTCTGAAGTCGGTTTCCATAGGAACGCATTGATTGATTTTCAATGCATTCCTATGGGAAACCGTGCTTCGCAAGACGAAAAACTCGCAAGAAGAAAAAACTTGCGGAACGAATTAATTTCGTCTTGCGAGGCACCACTGTAGATGATAGATAGATAGATCGATTAGATAGATAGATAGATAGATAGATAGATAGATAGATAGACAGACAGACACACACACACGCAGCAGTAGAAGTCAGGCCAAGCAGTTTATATGGGATGGAGTAGTCTTTATTCTTCATAGTTTTGAAGAGGGGAGTGGTTTTTAATGTTCCCAAAACTTGAAAGAAATTATTATTATTTTTCTGTCATCAACTTGTTTTATAAATAATTTGTTAGAAAACATGTTTGTCTGTCTTGAAATTTAAAAAGCTACATTTATTTTTTTTAGGTTGCATTCAAAGATCATTTGGGGTGAAATTCATCCCTGGGCAGAAGGCCAGCGAACGGCCTGCGTATCAAATAGCGCTTAAGCTGTGCGTAGCTCTTGTGCTACTGCCCTGGGCCGAATGCTAAATGTCTGATCATAAATGTGCTGCGCGTATGGGCAGCTTGCCAAAATATTTGCCCGGTGAAAGATAAGAGCCCCTCTCTGCAGGGTGTGGTGAAGGAGCAACAGACAGGAACTGCTGCCAGCAGACATGACTGAGTATGTGAGCTTCCTGCTTTTGGCCTTCAGCGAACATTTCACAAGCCCTTCTCTAAACTGGGAAAGGAAAGAAGCAGCTTCATGCATCGTTCTGGCACTTCTGGAATAGCCCCCTCTTTATGCAGATAGCCTTGGGTACATTCAGAGCCTTCGGGTAATTAGCGGATGACACAGAATGGATCTCTGCTTACCCAGGAGTTATTTAGTGCCATGAGGTTATAGCCCTAGTCAAGTGTGTTTGTTCATGTATGCATCGTGTGATCCAGGTTGCATCTGCTGGCCTTTTCATAGTTGCACTGAACCTTCACTTGTGTACCCAAATACATTTAGGCTTCCTCTGTGTGTCATCTGGCTCGCTCCATTCTTTAGGGGAGGCATGGCCAAACTGGGCCCTCCAGCTGTTTGGGGACTACAACTCCCACCTTCCCTAGCTAACAGGACCAATGGTCAAGGAGGTTGGGAACTGTAGTCCCAAACAGCTGGAGGGCCAAGTTTGGCCGTGCCTGCTTTAGGGTGATGAATCCCATACAGGAGCCAACATGCATTCAGGTATAGGCTTGGTGCAAATGCAACTCTTAAGGCAGTACAGTCTCTTGAAGACCATAGAGTTGTATTTTAACTTACATTTGTTTTCATCTTTTCACCCAATTGTCATTTCTCTCTCTCTCTCTCTCTCTCTCTCTCTCTCTCTCCCCTCGTCTCTTCATATAGGAAAGTGTTTCCAAATGGGATTCCAGAGGAGTATTTCTTAACAGCCACATTCCGTGTTAGGCGAAACAGCAAAAGAGAACGGTGGTATTTGTTGCAAATTTTAGATCAGCACAACATGCCACAGGTTAGAACAAATGGTCTTTTGCCTTTGTAGGAAAGCAGATATTTTCCTCTCTGGGATCAGAGTATACTCAAGATGTTTTTGCTGTTATGGCTATATATAGAATCAGTAACTGTTCTGTAATACAGCACTGGCATGGTAAGTGTGTAAGCTGCCACCCAGGATTGCTGTGAAACTGAAATTCTTTTTTGAGTTGTGATGGAATAGAGACATAACAAACAAAAAGCAAATTAAACAATAAAGGGTTTAGACTGATGCTTGATGAGCTGCATGGGAGACTTTTTTAATGTCCAAGGGTGGGATCCAAAGAGTCTCTTGCACAAGTAGAAGGCACATCCAGCTGCGTATGGGGAGTAGTGATTTTTACCTGTATCTGCCAGCAGTCACTCCTACACTATATCCAGTGCCATTCTGGAGAATCCTTGGTCCTCAGGAATGGCTGTGTGTGTGTGTGTGTGCGTGCGTGCAGTGGGAATGAGGAAGCCCCAGTGGCCAAACAGAATTCCACTTGTGATTCTCTGCATCCTACCAACATATAATAAGGTGTGAACTTTTAGTCCGTTCTTTGCTATTTTGCATTTTCATTGTTTCAGACCGCTTCTAATTTGACTGTGCTTTTTTTCAGGTTTACATCACCATTGACGGTACAAAAAAATTGTAGAGTACATTGCACAGTCCACCCAGGGGGGCTCATTGCACTACACCTTTAGAAGTCGGGAAATACACCCTGTTTTTGATCGGCAATGGCACAAGCTTGGCATCAGCGTGCAATCAAGGATCATTTCTCTCTATGTGGACTGCAGCTTAATTGAGCAAAGGGAGATTGATGAGAATACTACTACAGACTTTCAAGGGAAGATTCTTATTGCTACCCATTCTTTAGATGGCAAACCTGTAGATGTAAGTTGGGTTGACTGTTAAAGTATATTTCAGTGATATAAAAATGGCTGATCAAAACGTATTTATCCCTACAAAAGAAAAGCTTTGCAAGTTATTAAGGTTATGTACTGAGACCCTTTGAAATAAGAAACCTGATTCTTAAGTGATCAAACAGTAGTAGCGGATGAGGTTGTGGGATGGAGATAGTTACCTGCTCCTTATTGGGAGGCGTGAAGTGGTGGCAAAGTCAGTGCAGTGCGAACGTGACAGTGCAAGCAGTCTAGTGCTCCTGTTGGTGCATTTGCACCATGCTGTCCTCCTTGCCAATTTACTCCTTCCTCTCTCCATTCTAGTACGCAGCAGTGACTCACCTGCTGAAAGGTCAGGTAAAGATCGCAGCCACACCATGCCACCTGCTACTGTCAAACAGGTGCCATAATTTAACATATCAGGTTCCATATAGGCACATTATCATTTTTCTAGAGTGCTTTTCCTCTTGCCAGTGCAGGATTGGCAGTGGGATGGACTGCACTGCATGTAACTCAAAGCGTTCCAGAAAACTGGTTAGGAACAACTTGTGGGCTTCCCACAGGCATTTTTTTGACCGTTCTGAGAAAGGGGATGCTGGTCTGATCAAGCAGGGTTCTTTTTATGGTCTTAGTCTATTGTTGTACAGTGGTACCTCGGGATGCGAATGGGATCTGTTCTGGAGCTCTGTTAGCATCCTGAAGCAAATGTAACAAGCGATGGTGCGTCTGTGCGTGCACGGATCGCGTTTTGCCGCTTCCGTGCATGCGCGTGACGTCATTTTGCATGAGCGGCGAAACCTGGAAGTAATGCGCTCCGTTACTTCCGGGTTGCCGCGGAGCGCAACTTGAACGCGCTCAACCGGAAGCACATTCAACCCGAGATATGACTGTATACACATTACTAGCTTAAGACGCAGCTAAGTCATTCTTTTTCTAACTTTGGATTGAAGCTGGTTTGGGGAGAAATGCACCAAGACACATTATTTCGGGGGGGGGGGGGAATATGACAGGAAAAAAACCAGGTTAGCTATGGGGTGTGTACACTGCTTTTCCAAAGCAGCAGTGGGAGTGCACTGGATGTGGAGTAAATGGGTGTGTGTACATGGCCTAATAGAAAGGACACAAAAGGAAAAAAGGGGTGTAGAGCTGAAAAGAAAGCATTTAATGAGCTGCTTCACATGTCACACTAAGCCGTAGTTCATTTTGAACTGTGCCTCCCACTCCTCGTGTGGCTTCCCTCCACCCCACAAATGCTGTGCCTGCCACAAACAAACCATGGTTTAGGCTGTCATGGTATGTTTATTTCAAATACACCAAGGGCTCGTGTACTTCCTCTTGCCCCATGCCTAGAAAGCGTGGGTCTGGGCGATTTCCCACTTCTCCTGGGCTTTCTAGGCATGGGTCCAAGCCATTTTGCCTTCGGCTTGCTGCTTTCCCCCAGACAACTCACTATTTAGCACTAAATCAGAGCAAACGTCAATCTGGAGCAAACCCAACTGACATTTGCTCTGATTCAGTGCTAAAGATCAGGTTTTCCCGGAGGAAAGCAGCAGGGCAAATGGAAGTGTTGGTGAGGCCTGAGAGTGGTGATCCGGAAATAAACTTAAGAGTAAACATTGGTTTGTTTCTGGCTTATTGCTCGTGGTTTATTTGAAGCAAAACAAACCACAATCTGGGTTTGTATGACATGACAAACTATACCATGTCTTGTTTGTGCCACAGGTGCAGGAGAGAAATACATAGGGATGGTAGGACATTCACATAATCCATGGCTTTAAAGTGACTTACTGTTACATGTGAACCAGCTCTGTAGGATGTAGAAAGCATTTAAATTACACATTTTCAATTTTACATTGCCTCAGCTGAGGAATATGCAAAAGTGACTTTAATATCAGCTGTGAGTCACCTCCAAGTAAGATTTCATTTTTTAAAATCTGTAGTAAGAGAGTACTACTACCTATTTTCACATTCCCTTTATTCCCTCAGTCCTGTTCTTTTGTTCGTGCATGACCACCAACTCCTTTCCATCTGTTTTTAGACTGTATAAATGTCTCACAATTCTTATGCATAGACTTTGCTCTGCAGCATGCACACTCTTGCGTAATGTGCAAGTTTTGCGAAAAAAGACACTAGTCAACTATTTTTTCTAAGAGGATCAAAGCAGTTCAAATATATTCCAGTATTTCTATAGCGAACTCAGTGTACAGAATTCTCTGCTCCTTGCTGTGCAGATGATTCAGTACATGGGGGAAACAAATATTTGTTCATACTGTTACACATCATCCCAGTTTTCATAAGCGGTGTGAGATTCCAGGAGTTGCAGGCCTGCTTCCCAGGGTCTGTGTTGCCTTTTGGGACAATGAGACACAGTAGAGTCTGTGGTGTCTTTAGGACGTATGGTTTATTTTACACATATATACAACCTGTATCTAGATGGAGAGAGTGCAGAACATTCACATTCCAAGAGGGTCCTCTTCCTGCCATTGCTGCAGCCTTGAATCCCAAGAGACCCCAAACATCATATATGGCCCACTCTGAAGCATAAATCAGACTGCCTGCCTTGTGCCCCCCTTGCAAAAGGGACACCCTTTCCCCCCCCCCGTTTACTTATGTCCTCCTCCACCCTGTAATTCTGGAAACTTTCCCCTCCCAACTCTGGGAATGTCATTTGCTAATTACTCCGAGCTCAGGGCGGGGTCTCCCCGCTCTGTGTCCTGCAGAGAGCCTTTTGCCTTTGTTGATGACTTTCTTGATGGGTTAATGTCTTTGTTTCATAATGGCCCATCCCCAAGCAATTCCCTGGTCAGGAAAACAAGTCCAGCCTGTAGTCTTACGCTGCTAAATCCATTGTTTAAACTCCAACCTTTACTTTGAGCAGTTGAGGGGGCAGGAATATATATGAAGGTTTCATTTCATAACTTTATTGTGCTGCAGTGGGACATGTCTTGTCCTCTCAGTTCTGCCAAACGTCAGCCATGCCAAGAATCCCGGAACCTCCTGTGCTCTGTCCAGCATCATTTCTGTGGCTATGAGAAGCTGATTTAGCTGACCCTGGTTCAGAATGACCAAGTGTTCCTGCCCTGCCTTCTAGCAGAGATCCATACTTCCACCCTAGAAAGGAACAGGGAAGTAGCAGTATCATCTCTTCCCTGAGGATTGCCAGGCCAGTTGCATGCATTAGTGTTGGAACAGACAGGCACCTGGGACAAAGCCATGTCCTAAATAATTGTACTATACTGTTACTAGTATTAAGAGTGGATGAGTTTGTAAATAAAGGTAGCACTCCTCCTAGAAAAAAATCAAAGAAGCATGTTTTGGAGAGATATACCTGCCAGTTTTGAAACATATCCTTAAAAAAATATCAAGTAAGTTGGCCAAAGGACTGTAGGAAACTGCAATATTCATTGTGGTAGATAAATGAAATTGCTTTAAAAAAATTATACAGTATAAATAAGAGCTGTGTTTGGCTCAATATACTTGTGTTTTGTATTATCAGATTAGATTATGTGGGCTGCTCCCGTGTTCACAAATAATATATGCAAGTACAGTATTTTAAAATGAAACACTGTAATGTGCTTTCTGAGTTTACAACCCAAAATAGAATTTGGCGTACGTAATCCCATTCATTTCTATGAGTTCAAGTGGTTTAATTTTGTGATGGATTGTGGTCACAGAGGTTTCAGATGTGTCAAGATTGATTACCTTATAAAGCTGATAAACACCTCTGTGTTTACTAAACAGATTGAAGTTGGCCGCATGATAATATACTGCAATCCCAGTCTTGCTGCTCAGGAGACTTGCTGTGAATTATCTGAGAATATGGTAAGTTAAGAAAATAAAAAATGCAAGTTATCCCCCCTCCCCAGAAACACAGAGATCGGTACAGTCCTTCTTTCTCCATTTAGAAATGCAAATAAATTTCATGGTATCATAAGATTAGTCCATTCTTCAAAATGGAAGTGTGACCTAGATTAGTTTTTCATGCTGAAAAATATGGGATGGGAAAGGATCAACACTTGAGAAACAAGAATTCAAACTGAAAAGGAATATTGAAAACAAGAGAGATTTCTTTGGGCAACCGTTGTCGATGCATGCCTATATCATGGTTTCTGTTTGGGTCTCATTAAACTTGATCAGTACAATTGCTGATGTAGGTGGAGACGCCCATTATATCTTTTAGGTAGAGTATTTGATAAACATCTGAATACTATCTGCAAAGAATTCTTAATGATGAGCCTTAGGTCTTATTCAGGCTTGCCCTTGCCCCGCTACTTTCCCCTGGAGGAAAGCCGATCTTTACTTCTAAGTCAGAGCAAAGGTCAATTGAGTTTTCTCTGGATTGATGTTTGCTCCAATTTAGCACCAAAGAGTGGATTTTCTGGGGGAAAGGGGCAGGGCAAGGGCAAAACTGCTTGGATCCATGCCTAGAAAGCAGTGGGAAACCACTGTGGGACCTGTGCTTTTTAGGAACATGACAAGCCAAAGTCTGGATGCGCTCTCATTCCCTCTCTCATTCTAGCTAGGTGTTATTTTCTGTTTTTTCTATTTTTTAATTTTCCCCAGTTAGAAGTATTGTGCTGTTCATATGGCTAAGAACCTAGTGGATTAGTCTGACCCACAAGCTAGCCACTGTACATAAAAAGCACAAAATATTTTGCTAGTTCATTTATAACATCCTTTAGCTATGCATTTGACATTTTTGCGATTGTATTTGCCACATCAAGGATATTTTTTAGAAAAAGCTTAAGTTGAATTTTGCATGTAAATCAAGCCCTATCTCACAAATGGAATGATAATGTGGGTAATTGCAGTCATATACATACCTACTCAGAATTAATAAGCCCCACTGAGTTCAGTAAGCCTAACTCCCAGATAAGTGTGTATATGTTTGCAGTGTTAGATAAGATCAGTGGTAAGATGCATCCCCCCCCCATTGTTAAAGAATAAAATATATGTATAGCATTTAGAAGTGTGTGCAAAAAGATT